GGGGCGCGCCACTGACCTTTGCCGGCGCTCCCCTGCCTGAGGGGCGCGCCACTGACCTTTGCCGGCGCTCCCCTGCCTGAGGGGCGCGCTACTGACTCTGGCTGGCGGCCGCCCCGCCGCTAATTCCCCGCTGACGGTGGCGTGACCCAGGCCGGCCAGTGACCTCGTAGCTCCCCACCGCCCCCTAGCGGGTAGGTGGGCCGACACCGATCACAGTATGTTTAAAAGTGTCCATGCAGCTTGCAGGGATTTCACTTTTGGCGCTGAACCTTTTCATTTCTGTTTCACTAACTTCCTCATTTTTGTGTAGTTCCCCTTTCTGAAATTAAATACTACAGTGGTGGGCTGCTGTGGTGTTTTCCTCCCCCACTGGAATGTTAAATTTTATTATCTTATGGTCACTACTACCAATTGGTCCAGCTATATTCACCTCTAGGACCAGATCCTGTGCTCCACTTATGATTAAATCAAGAATTGCTCCTCCTCTTGTGGGTTCCTGGACTAGCTGCTCCAAGAAGCAGTCGTTTTGTGAAAAGTGTTTGCCCGCGGGTGATAGGATGTTTTTGTCTTTTATCATTTTTCTGAGTGAGTTCATTCGAGAGTGTAGTGATTGATCCATAAGAACGGCCACACTGGGTCAGATAAATGATCCATCTAGCCCAGCATCCCGTCTTCTGGCAGTGGTTGTGGCCAGATGCTTCAGAGGGTGTGACGAAGTGGGTTTTTCCTCATTATGTTGTACGCAAGCCTATATGAGTCTTACGGTTTTGCATGAATACTGTGTGCCTCTGTTTCCCTGTGTATTGCACCAATGCCTAGGTGGTGAGAATAAGGATGTGTGACTTTTGCTGAGACCCTCGGGGACAGGTGAGGCGACTCCAGTTGCCTGCACATAAGTGAGGGATGGTGCCCTTCGTAACCTGACACCCAGGAGGGGGATGCGACCAGGTGACACTTTGCCTGGGGAAGCGAGACAAAGACCAGGAGGAAGGGCAACGGCATGTTGGAGGTCGGGTCGCTGGAAGCTGGGTAGTCTCCTGTTTGGGACTCAGAGGGGGGAGTCGAGGGCATCTGGCCCGGGGTCCCCCCAAGATCAGTGGCGTAGCCAGATGGAGCAAACGGGGGTGGACATAAAAAAGGCACCACCCGCTGCGGCGCTTGTACTCACCGGGCAGCGCTCCGGGTCTTCGGCGGCATTTCGGCAGCGGGTCCTTCACTCGCTCCGGGTCTTTGGCGGCACTGAAGGACCTGCCGCCAAAGTGCCGCCAAAGACCCGGAGCGCCGCCTGGTGAGTACAAGCGCTACAGCAGGTGGTGCCTTTTTTTATGTCCACCCCTCCTGTTCAGAGTAAAAATGTAAAAAGCGCCACTTGTGCTCAGTGGAGGAGCAACCGCTCCCCCTGCTCCCCCCCAGCTACGCTAGTGCCCAAGATGGACTTGGCTGAAAGTCACTGATTTCTGTGCTCACAAGTTCTGTTCTACGCTGTGTTCCTATCAACCAATAAACCTGCTGTTTTACACACTGGCTGAGAGTCACAGCTGACTGCAGAGTTGGGGTGCAGGGCCCTCTGGCTTCCCCAGGGGTCCTGTCCAGGTGGACCCACCTAGGGCAAGTGCTGAATGCTCCGAGGTCAGACCAGGAAGGCCATAGCCGAGAAGGCTTTTTGTCCTGGACAATGCTCCCTAAGGGGAGCCATGCTACCCCAGAGTCCTGGCTGGCTTCATAGAGAGCAGTTCCTGAGCATCGGACTTGTGACTCCGTCACAGAGGGAATGAACAGAACAGGGCAATTACTGAGTGATCCATCATCTGTCATCCATTGATTGGCTCATTTCACCTCCATAGCAGTGATTGGGGCATTTGGTGCACTGGATGAGGAACACCATGTTGTAATAGGCATGTGTAGGACGCATGGATCTTGAAAGGTGTGTTGGGGGTGGATTGATCGTCATAGTAGGGGAGATGTGTCTGCTGGCTTTGCATCTATTGTTATGGCAGGTTCTGGTGCTGCTTTGAGTGGGTGTGTCCTGGTCCATGGGGAGCTTGCTTCTGATGATGAGCTTGGTGAGTCTGAGGGGTTGTTTGATGGCCAGAAGAGGGGGTTCAGGAAAGATTTCTTGCAGGATGGGGTCCCCGTTGAGTATGGGTTCTAACTGTGCTACTCCTGTTTGAGATTGGTCCTGGGTCCCAGGATCAGATCAGCTCCTCTAGCCACAGCATCACTCTGGGAGCTCACTGGTTCTCCACTGTGATCCCCAAGTCCTTTTCAGTCACTGCTTCCCAGGATAGAGTCCCCCATCCTGTCCCTCAGTCCTGATCTGCAGCCCCCTGCTACCCCAGCCCTCGGATCCCTGCCCCAGCTCTGCTGGTGCCCCCAATCCTGACTCACCACAGACGCTGCTATCCCAGCCCTGGGATCCCTGCCCCAGCTCTGTCAGAGCCCCAATCCTGACCCTCCACAGCCCCCTGCTACCCCAGCCCTGGGATCCCTGCCCCAGCTCTGTCAGAGCCCCAATCCTGACCCACCACAGACCCTGCTATCCCGGCCCTGGGATCCCTGCCCCAGCTCTGCCAGAGCCCCAATCCTGACCCACCACAGACCCTGCTATCCCAGCCCGGGGCTCTCCCTCCCCTCGAGTTCTAGTAATGAATCACAGGGCTTTGGCAACCGGCCAACATGTGCTAGGAGCGGGCCCTGGCACCCTGGGAACATGGCCTCGTCTCTCTTGGTTGCTTCTGTGATTGACCCTGTTGCAGTGAATGACAGTGAGTTTCATTGTTATGTACATAGCGCCACAGAGCAGGGGTTTTCAGAACGAAGAGAGAGAGACTCTCTCGCCCAGACAAACTGGTACAGCCGTTGGAAAACCCCCAGGGGGAGAAGCATTTAACGAGGGTGAGGGCACTGGGAGCCCTGTTGTTACCTGCACCACACTCTAGGGCACCCCACCTTTACCCTTCCATGGGTTAATGGAGGCATCCCCATCCTTTCCTAGTTCCTAGGCTCAGAGCATAATCTTCAGCAGGGCCTTTTACCCGTGCAAGAGCCTTACGCAGTAATATCCTTAACTTCTAGTTATTAACCGTTACCTAAACAGAACACGCACGCTAAGCGGACAATGCGCACCACTCCCACTAAGGCAGACAAACTTTTCCTGATGGCCAGTGAGGATCAGGTCGTCTGGGGCTCCAGCTTCTGCACAATATAGTTGGCAGGAAGGATGTTGAGGTCTGGCAGGTCTGTTCTTGGGGCTGTGTCCTGGAGTCGGTTCCCAAAGAACTTCCTTTTGGACCCCAGTTTATATAGTGAAACTTGAGTCCTGCTTAGCTGTACGGTAACCAGTCATTGTAAACTAAAGTCGTACAAAACTATTTTTCACCCATCCTAGCCCATTACAAAACACTTCTTTGCCCAATCACACCCACCACCTTAGTTGATTTAAATCTTGCACAGTTAATTATGTAACAGAGAGACCATACAAACAAACCACAGAGAAGTGGGGACCATAAAGGCAAAACAATGGATTTCACAATCACAGCTGTTGATAAATGGTTCCTGCCAGACAAAATGCATCAAACGTTTCCCCTAAACGTCTGACGATCTGTTTCTTTAGCTGGTGATGGTAGATGCTAAGAAGGTGATGGTGATGGTGGGCGCTATCAGGACAGGGGAGTCTCAAGAGATTATTACATGGAATGTGAGGATGTGATTTTCTGTTTCTTAGCTCCTAGGGGTGCTGCCCTGCTGTGGCTGCTGTAGAAAAAGGCCTCAACCCTTCCACTGTGGCGTCTTGGGACCAGCTCTCAGTAGCAACCCCTCACCTGGGGCCCGGGGGACACTTCTGTGACCCCTGCCTGGCATGGTGGGGAGCCTGACCCCTCCCTCCCCATCTGGGAGGGGTCCTGGTTACCAGATGCTCCTGGGGTGAGGGGGCCCCGGCAGGATGGGGCGCTTGGACCCTACAGCGATGAGGGCCAGTCAGACCCAAACCCCAGCGGAAGCAGAAGTCCAGAGCCCCCAGGCCCATCACAGGGGACTTCTATATGCAGGGCTTGGGGGCTGCCCCCCAACACGCCCGGCCCCTGCCCGGGGTGAGGTCGGTGGGGCTGACGTCCCCCAGCACACCCGGGGTCCGACCTGCGCCCTCCCGGTGGCGATGGGGGTTGAGGCCGGATCCCGCAGCGCCCAGAGGCGGGCCGGTCCCTCCCGGGGGCCCCGCGCGGGCGGGCGGCCGCTCTCCGCAGGGCTCGGGGGCGGGGAGAGGGGCCGAGCTGGCCCCACCCAGCAGCGAGCGCAGGCCCCGCGGAGCAACCCCGCAGCCCTTCGCCCGCAGCCGCCCGGCCGGGACAGGGGCGCGCCAGGTAACAGCCGCCGGGGGAGCGGAGCGGGCCGGGCCGGGTCGCTGCTCGGGGCCGGGCTCCGCTTAGCCAGGCGCTGCCGTCCCCCTGCGGGTGCCCATCGCCGCGGTGTCGGACCCCACCGCCCCGGCCGGCCGAGCTCACGGCGGGGGGATGTTGAGGGGGCTGCGGATTGTGTTTGTGCCGGGATGGGAGTTGTGTACGGGTTGAGGGCTGTGTGTGGCAGACTTGTGCATTGTGTAGGTGGGGGAGTGCTGTGTAGTGGGGAGGTGTGTATAGTGTGTGCGGACAGTTGTGTGTTGCGGGGCGGCTGTGTAGCAGGGGAGTTGTGCGGCTGGGAGAGGGTCTGTGGGGTGGGGGTGAGGGCTGGGGGTTGTGCGCTGGGGAGGGGTGTATAATGCCTGGGGTTGTGCAGTTCAGGTCACTTATGGTGTGTATGGGAGGAGGGCTGTGTACAGTGTGTTGTGGTTGTGTTGCTGGGGGTACTGTAGGCTCTGCTGGGCCTGCACAGGGTTCTTGCAGCACAAGGGCTGGTTTGTTGAGTGTGGTGTAGATGGGGGCTGTTGTGCAGTGGAGGGGTTGTGCAGGCTGTTGTGCAGTGGAGGGGTTGTGCAGGCTGTTGTGCAGTGGAGGGGTTGTATAGCTGTCCTGCCTTGGTTGGCTGCCTAGGGCTCCTGGCAGCCAGCAGCTTGTTTGCTGAGCTGTAATTTATAAACCTCCGAAGGGGACTCAGACTTTCCACCGACTCTGGAATTTGCTGCAGCTCCTGGAGGAGCCTGTGTGATGAGGGCGGGAGGGAAGGGTGGACCCAGGACAGGGTGGGGGCCTCCTTTTATCCTCCAGGGGAGAGTCAGCCCCCAGTTCTGCCTCTGGGTGGGTTCAGACCTCTCCTGCAGCAGCATTTGGTAAGGCGAGCGGTGGCTCGCGGGGCAGGGTCCGTGCCCCCAGGTAAGCCAAATGGAGCAGCCTGTGCCCGGTAGCACTTGGCAGTGCTGTGCCCGGTGGCCGTCTGGGGCTGGCTGGCAGCAACTCGCTGTGGAGTTTGCAGACGGCTGCAGCCGTCCAAGTATCTGCACATTCCGTCTAGGTCACTTCCTGCAAACAAGCTGCCTGTTGCAGTTCTCAGAGCCCCAAGCGGACCCCAAAGAACCCGCCCCAGCCAGCCAAGGGCTGTGCTGGCATCCCCCACGCCTGCCGTGCCCTGCGCCTCCCTCCTCCCTGGCTCTGGTACCCATGGGGGCACTGGGGCCTGCAGGGGGCAGAGGTACGCTGGCTGCACTGAGCTCCCCAACCTCTAGGGGGCAGCAACAGCTTCGGGGAAAGGAGCAGAAATCGGCAGCTTGCATGGCCGGTGACCTCCCGTCCCTTGGGTGCCTCGTCCAGAGGGGGGGCCCAGCTCCGCCTGCTGGGCTCTGCGCCTCCAGATGAAGGGCAGAGCTCACAGCGCAGGCCGGGGCTGTGCTCCAGCCCCTCGTGTTATACTCTGCTGAGCCAGGGGCCAGAGGGAGAGAGAACTTGTGCTGGGGAGGAGGTTACAGTACCAAGCAAGGTGGAATGGTCTAGTGGTGAGAGCAGCGGGGCTGGGAGCCAGGACTCCTGGGTTCTCTCCCCGGCTCTGAAAGGGGAGTGTGGTCTAGTGGTGAGAGCAGCGGGGCTGGGAGCCAGGACTCCTGGGTTCTCTCCCCGGCTCTGAAAGGGGAGTGTGGTCTAGTGGTGAGAGCAGCGGGGCTGGGCGTCAGGACTCCTGGGTTCTATCCTCACGGCTGGGTGAGTCCCTCCTGTCGCTGCCTCTGTGGAGCAGGTGGCATCTCGCATTCCCCTGTCCTCAGAAAGCTCGTTTGAGTTCTGGAAATGGAAGGGTGCATAGAGGAGCCAGGTGTATCTTAGAGGGTAATCCAGACTGCTGGCTCTGGGGCTCCCGTGTTTATGGGAGCAGTCCCCACTGATGGGAAGGGGCAGGCTGTGCCCTGGCCCCAACTTGGCTGCTGTGTGTAACACTGGCCTCTCAGCCCTGCCTGCCTCCCTGCAGCATCACCAGCTGCTAATGAAACACCTCCAGCCCCTGGCGGGGCCATGACTGCCCCCCCATTCCCAAATGGAGCCAAAACTGCCCCTGACCCCTGCCTCCCAGTGGGGCTGAAGCTGCCCCAGCATTGCCCACTGCACAACCCACCCTGACCTGCCTTGCAGCGTCCATCCGCGCTGGTGGGCCACAGTCTCCTCTGCCCTCCCGCTGCCATGCTCTTTCTGTGGGACTGAGCTCCCTAGGGCCGCATGGTTGTTACCTGGTCACACCTACTGCAGCTGTGACAGTGCAGGGAAGCGGCTCGCCTCGGAATGGGTCACAGGCTGGATTGCTCTTGCCTGGGGCTGCAGCCGGCGCCTAGATGAGAATTCTTGCCCTGATCAGCCGGGTGGCTCGGTGCACCTTGAGAGGGAGATGCGCCGGGAGTGCTGTTGTGAGCGGGGCTGGAAAAGGGGCTGTACCCCACGCTCAGCCAGCATGCTGGAGTGAGGGGCTCTTGCAAGGGAGCTCAGGCACAGAGCTGAGCTTTGGAGCATAGTGGTCTCCTCTCCTGTGGCAGTGAGTTCCAGAGGTTGGGGCAGACTCTCAGGACAGTTCTGTCTCCTGTTCTCATGAGCCCCCAGCTGTCCCCCATGGGGCAACCAGTTCGTTGTCCTGGTGATGTGGCTGTCATCGTGGCCACAGGCATCTCTTGGGCACCCAGATACCTTGGGGGCTTGGCAGCAGGCCAGAGCTGGGCTCTGTGTGCAGTGGGGAGCTCAGGCAGAGAGCAGGGCCCTGGGGGACGTGCTCCTGGAGCCCTGTGTGCTTGTGTTTCACCAGGTGGAGCTTTCTCGGGCCACGGGGCCTTGTGCTTAGCTAAGAGATTGCAGAGCCTGGGGTCAGCCGTGCAGGGGGCCCCTGGGGCCAGGCTCTGCCCCACAGGAGGGGCCCAGTTCTACAGCAGCTAGAGGAGGAAGCATATGCTGCTTTGGCTGTTTAGGTGCCAGTAGCCGTGAGATGCCCAGAAGAGCCCAGGGCAGCTTTGTTTCCACAATCTGGAGGGGACTGAATTAATCTTTAACCAGCGGTATTTCTGCAGCAAGTTTCCCAGCCAGGGCAGGGGGCGGCATGTCCCTGCATGCTCCCTTCGGATGAGGCAGGGTGAGGATCAGAAGTGAGGTGGTTTTACTGTGAGCACCAGGCTAGACCCTGGCAGCCAGACATCCCTGTGATAATGCCAGGGCAGCGGCTTGTGTTCTGCCCCGTTCCAGGGCTGTGGGCTTGGCCCTGTCCCCAACACAAGCTTGGGAGCCCCCAGAAATACCCTGTTTCCACAGGATTGCCTTGGCCGCACTTCCTCCCCTGCACTGCCTCTGTTCGCCATGGGCGCAGGGGCTGGTGCCAGGCCCCACCCCTCGTGTGCACACGGACTCGTGTCTGTAGTGGGCAGAACGGTGCCCCTGGCTCTGACTGGCACTGGGATTACCAAACTCCCTGCCCCAGAGGCCCCGCTGCAACACTGACCTCTGCTCAGCTCCCCAGAGAGGAGGGACGTGGAGGGTGAGATAGCACGGGCGCCCCCCAGCCCTGGCATTACTCGGAGAGCGCAGACGTGGCTGTCAGTCACTCTTCACGCCAGGCCCCCCAGTCGGCAGGAGAGACCGGAACTGTTTGAGCACCTGACCCGGCTGGGGCCCCCCCTGCGGAGGCTGGGCTGGCTGGGGCCGCAAGCCCGTTGTGGACACGTGGAATGAAGGGGGGTGGCTGCGGCGAACCGTAGGCAGGGCTTCAGTGCAGGTAGGACTCTGCTGGGGCCTTTACGTGGCCCCCGGGCAGTGGCAGCCTGGCCACTGGAGAGGGACTGACAGAGCTTCTAAGCTTCTCCAGCTTCCTTGCCCAAGCTGTGTCTGCCTGCGTGTCTGGCCCTGGGGCCCCGGAGTTTGTCTTTGCCCTCTGTAGGGCCGCAGCCCTTCCTGGTGCCACCTGGGAATGTCACCACCATTGGTGCCCCCAATGCACCCGGCTCCATCCCTGCCCCAGGCTCTGTATTAGCAGGGAGTGTGTCCTGGCAGCCAGGTCACCTGCCAGCCCCGCGAGCTACATCGCTCGCAGCACCAGTGCTGCCAGTCAGTCAGTCAGTGGGGACTTTCCTGCTCTCTGCTGCGCCGTTTCAGGAGGGAGCAGTTGGACTCTGGGATGTGAACTTGCAAACAAGGCCAGTTCACCCCTTAGCCTGCCCTTGGATTGAGCTGCTTCAGTGTCTTGCTGCAGGGCTGGTTTGCCAGACCTCACGTTGTTCCTGTAGCTCTTCTCTCATCCCTTGCCTAGTGGTCCACATCCCTCCTGGAGCATGGGCACTGGAACTGGAGGCCGTGTCCTGTGATGGTCTCGCTAATGCTGTGTACAAAGGTAACACCACCTCCCTGCTCCTCACTCTGCATTGCAGGATCATGTCCTTTCTCTTACCAGAGTGTCCCACAGGGAGCTGGCGTTCAGTTGGTTTGCACCGTGACCTGCAAGACTTTGCCAGTGCCGCTGCATTCCTGGATGTGGCCTTGCCTTATGCATGACCTACATCCTTTGATGACCTTGCACTTGGCTGTATTAAAGTGCATGCTGTTCCCATGAGCCCACTGTACCAGCCACCCCAGTCGGCTCTGTAGAACTGACCCCTCCCCATCATCATTTCCCACACCTCTGAAAATGTGACCAGCACTGACTTAGCACCAGGCCGGCTAACGGCTCCCTATTGACGAGCGTGTCTGGGTAGCAGGCTGAGCGCTAACTGGCCCTGTCTGCCAACCCAGCCGTGAGGAGCTGGGCTGCCAAGCAGGGGGTTGGTGCCCACATCCCTGCTCAGGCTCCGGCTCTGCCCTGGCACAGCAACACCTGTACGAGACAGGCCCCTGTGCCAGAAGCGCACACTGACCACAGCAAGGGGGATGGGGCCAGGAATCAAGGGCCACAGGCTTGGTGCGGGGGAAAGAGGGCCACT